GCTCTCTACCAAATGTCTTAAGTCCTTCCACACATGGTTCGCTCTGTATAGTGTGTAAACATCGAACTTCTTTCCCTATTCAAAGACGGAGATTTTTCCTCTTTTCCCCATATCTTCTTTATTCTCCGTGGTGTATCTATTTGTAGCATTGCTGGGAGTACGAAGAGCAAAGAAGTGATTGTGGATAATGTGACACGGTACTGGCCTCTTCAGGATCCAACATCTAACCTGGACTTGTAGACCTGGTGGCGAGGACATAGATACCTCGGCGAAGGCATGTTCTGTTGGCTGTCAGCTGATGCGACACTACCGTGATACTATGATACCACTGCTGCCGCCGCTGCCGCTGCCTGCTGCTGCTGCTTCCGCTTCTGCTGCTGCTGCCGCCGCCGACGCCGCAGCCGCCACCGCTGCTGCTGCTGCTGCTGCTGCTGCCGCTGCTGCTAATTATGCCATACTTGCTGTTGCTGTTGTTCCCGCTGCTGTTGCAGTTATCGCTATTCTTGCTGCTGCTGGTACTGCTGTTCTTGTTGCTGCTGGTGCCGCACCTCCCCGTTTACATTCGCCCACACTCTGTTGCTGAAGCAGCCGCGCAGCAGTGTTCTCCTGTAAGCGGCCCGTAGTTTCCCGTTCAGCAGCCCGTAAGCCCACCCCTCGAATGTGAACCCCAGCAGACGCAGCAGGTGCAAAAAGCCGTAGAGTTTCGGCACGGCTTGCCAGTGAGTGGCCAGCCGCAGTATCGGACTCACGATATCCATCGCCACGGTAAGAAGAAACACCAGCACGACCCGCTTGAAGACGCGGTAGTTGCGGAGGAAGTTGCGACTCTCCTGCAGCTGAGCGACGTCGTTCTGCAGCTCGTGCACCCGCCGGGAGAGCTGGCGGTTGGTGCGGTACCCCACCCAGAAAGTGTACGAGAAGAGGGCGATGGTAGCCAGTGAGAAGGACACCAGCTCCATCTCGACGATCACGGCGAACACTACGGAGTAGTGGGTCTCCCAGCGGCAGCCGGGGTAGACGGCCGTGCCGTTCCCGCGTCCATGCACGCTATCTGCGACAGTCACCAGTCCCAGAGCTCCGGTCAGCGACGACAGGGCGAACTGGGCGGCCCAGGTGGCCCAGGTGGCCGCCACCAGCCAGCAGCGCGCGCGGGCCATCAGCGACAGGTGCTGCAGCGGCCGCGAGATCGCTACAAACTGGTCCACGGCCATACACAGCTGGGCAGTCTTGGAGGCCACCCCGAACCCTATACCGGTGTACTGCAGGGTCCGGCACAGAGCTACCGTATCCAGCTGCAGCAGGTCGTAGGCGCCGACCAGGGACAGGTTGACACCCATAAAGAGGCAGATGAAGGACATGTTGCCGGCCAGGACGGCCACCGGCTCTTCCCAGTGACGACGGTCGCTGAGGATGGTGAACAGCGGAAGGGAGTAGTTTACGGTAAGCAGAAGCCCCACCAGGGTCTTCAACCACGCGTACCACATCACGGGACGGCAGGCAGGCTATCTCCGGGAAGGGGGATACTAAGTCACGGCACGGGAGACAGACTATCTCCGGGAATGGGAACGCCACGCCACGACACAGCAGTGAAGCATCTCCAAACGTCGTTTAAACGTCACGGCACTGCACAAACAGGCTATCGCCGGTACGACGTTATCCTATCACGACACAGTCATGTGCCTATACACAAAACGGTGGATTTCTATGCCGCGAAACCACATTGTGGCTATCTCCAGAATGGCGGTACCTCACCACCACGGCACAGCAGTGTGGCTTTCTCCGGAACTACTGTACCACGGCACAGCAGTGTGGCTTTCTCCGGAACCAATGTACCACGGCACAGCAGTGTGGCTATCGCAGAGGCAGCGGCGCGTCTGTATCACGGCACGTCTTCGCCCGATATTTAATGCTGATGTGCAGCAGTAACCATGGTTTCGACGCAACACAACACCAGCCGTGTCACCAGAGCGCAGATTGACTTACAACACTGACTGGCTGAGATCTGGACTCCAGCTTGATGGACACAGGACAGAAATATGTGGAGAGAAGTAAGGTGGCCAGGGAATTTCATCGACGGACACCAACAATTTATGGCCAATCCATCTAACAATTGTGAAATGTTTGGCGCCAGTAAGGGCTTTAAGCCCGAACTGCTGACTTCACTTTTCGGTATGAAAGAGTAGGTACATACGTGCCTATTGCTTGTGGCGAAATAATGCCGACTGTACCTGGCGCTAACGTCCGAAACCAATTACATTTTCTTTTACATTTTTCTTATGATCTAGATTACCGGACGCAGATTCTGAGATTGGATGACGCACGAACCTATCACGTCTCCCGTACCGATTCACAGCATAATACCTTTGGCAGCGTATGGGACAGGTGCACTTATGACGGCTGTGTTTGCGAGAAATGATCTTGCCAATGACAAGTCCAGAAAATATCTGTCGAGTTAGGTGCTCATAGATTTTAGGTGCTCAAGGTGGAGGTTGATACATTACCGAGTGTCCCGGTTAAAAAGTTGGGAGGGGCTCAGTCCCCCCCCCCCCCCCGCTCCCCATCTTTCACGGCTATGGTTTGTTTACACCAGACCCACACCGCCGACCAAGCCTCTGTGACGTCACCGATCGGGTGGGCCTCTGATGTGTTTCCTCGACCGTCGACCCGTCTGCACGCGCAGACGACTGAGCTGACAGGCGAGGGCTGAGCTCGGGGAGCTGAGCCGATGGTAGGCTGGTAGCTGAGCTAGGACGGCAGCCGCCGCCGCGCCGGCCGGATTTGACAGCAGCGGCGGCTTTACGCCAGAGCTGACCATTTGAGCGGCCGTCTGAGCTCGGACCACCGGCGCCGGACCGGTAACTGTGATGGATGGCACTAATCAGCCAGACACCCGCGGCGCCGCCGACCGCCGGCTCCAAAACAAATCGGCGCGGCCGCCCGCCGCCGCCCGGCGCTCTTTTGTCTCTGTGGAAACAGCGTGGTCCGGCAGATCCTGTAGCTATACCTGAGGGCCCCGTAGGTCTTGTAACCAAAAGCCTGAGGCGGGACGGTGTCGCCGGTTTCGTAAACTGGCCTCGGGAGGGTGTGGCCTCCGTCGCCGCCGTGCTGCTCTCCGAAGCCACGCGTGAGTGAGCTATGTGTGGGTCGGGACCGCGCCGTGCGTCGTGTAGGCCGAAAACAGTGGGCCGCGGGTTTGCGGAGCCGGGAGCTCCTCTCGCACGCCGCAGGCTGGACCGATTCCAAAGCACGCAGCTGCAGAGAGCCGCAGGTGGTGTTCAAATGTAACTGACTCCGTTTATGAGTCACCGTGCTTTTATAAAAGTTATGAGCTATTACAAACAACATTCAAGTAGCCATAAAACAACATTTTGTCCGCAAAAGCTCGTTCATGTATATTTATAAAAAGGTATGCACGCGTTGCCCCTGAATGCACGGCAACTCCGGACGAAATGCGGAAAGCACATCATAAATTGAAAGTTAGAAGTTTCAGTAGGTCCAAGTAGTTCCAACGAACCATTTAATAGCCGGGCAGCCGTCTAATGCCTCCGCAAAACCCCATTTACCAATTAAGCGCCGGCGCCAAGGGGCCATACAGACGATGTCGGAGTCGTCCGACTTCATCTGTATATTTTCACGTCAGCACCGGCTGCAATAAGACGCGCCGGTTAGCGCAAGCTGCATACACAAGCGCACAAATACACTCATCAAGCGGCCATAAAAACCCCGTCCCGTCGCTCTGACTAATCCCCCAGCGTCGCCCGAGCGTGCTACCGAGCGCTGTGAGACCCTGTTTTCGGGCACATGGATTCATGAGTGGCGCCCGGTGCCGAGACAGACATGGGTGGTGCCCTCAGCTCTGAGCGATGCCACGTGCCACGTGTCCAGGTCACGTTACTTCACCGGGAACTGGTCGAGTTACAGTGGGGTCGGCTGCGTCCTGAACCAAAGCAAATCATTCACTTGAGGACTTCCGAGAATTTTTGACAAGAACAAGGACAAGACTTAGAGACGTTGGCTGATCTTTTGTAGTTTCATAAGTGTGTTGAGAAGAAAAGACAATAGTTATTCGGTTGTTACGAGAGTGGGCAGAAATAGCTTGGATGGTCAGGCAGGCAAACCAAGATTAGGATTCCCATACTCGGAGGGGCAAAGTGACAGAGATGCTGATTGCTGGCCGGTGCCTGTTATATGTAGTCGCAGGGAGCCCGGGGCAAATTGATTAGCCACTCTGTGAAAGTGCGAGGCCCATGCTGGCATCGTAATAATACCTGTCATGTCAGAATCGACTTTTTCATTTGATTGTTCACTTCGTAAGACACACAAAACACCCCAATGTCCGTATCTAGCTATCGCCGCTCGCAAGAAGCCCACGAACATTTATTGATTAAAGCCAGCGCATAGCGTGCGATGTGTAAAAAGCCTGAACCTTACAACCCTACGAACTAGGTTGATGTGTTTGGCGTAAAAGGAATTGACTACAAAGACCGGTGCTTCTTTCTATTCAAAGGCGAACAAAAACTGGTCACGCTGTTATGTGTGTACCGAAACGGTCATGTCAGTGATGTACTTCTGGCAAAAACGCCAATTTCTCAGAATAACAGGAATCCACATAACTATTTATATTTCAGAGCCCCAATGCATTGTAACATCATGCACTCAAATAAATACAGTTTAATTTGCTACATATACCTCACGCTCCTCTCTTTTAATACGGTGAGCCATTTTATACCCTAATTACAAAACCAAACTACAGAAGCATATCACCTGAGCCGGCCGTACCCGGCTGGAATCTGTCCTGCGCGGGACTGGAATGAATTGGACTTATGTACTTGTCCCCCGGAGAAGTCAGTCCCGTCCGGGGCCGAACTTACTAGCACTTTCTGTCCTCGGAGCTGTCTCGACCAGGGGCTGGACTGACTGTCCCCAAAGGAGTCGGTCCCGCCCAGGGCTAGACTTCTGGCCCCGAAGGAGTCAGTCCCATCCGGGGCCGGTCAACTGACCTGCCGAGTTGATCCTGTTGACGTCGATATCGACACTTGCTCGGCGCAGCATGCTGACCACGGCGTCGGCGTCGTTTTCTTTAACGCTCTCGTCGAAGACCACCTCGTCGGGGAAACGCACACGCCGCCGACCGGGGTTCTGGCGCGCGAACAGACTCGCTCTTCGGCTCATGGTGGCCGGTTGGGGAGGGCGGTCGGATCAGGTCAGGTCAGGACAGGTCAGGTCAGGATAGGCTTGAGTTTAGGCCAGAGCAGATGCCAGTTAGGCCAGGCTGTCTACTGATACTTGGTTAGGGTAATTCATGAGCTAGTTCAGCTGATGCCATGCTAGGATAGCTGAGAAAAGGATGCAGTATTTGAACAGCTCAAGCTACGCTGTACACAACAGGCTGGCAAGCGGCACGGCTGATAGTCAAGAAACTGAACTGGCCTGAGAAGGAAGGACTAGCCTGATATTGGTCTGAATACTGGTACTGTTACGGTTTGTGATGCTACAATCAGGATTGACGCAGGCGACTCGTTCTGATCATATGTCGTCCGTGGCGGCGGGTGCCTGCAATAAAAAAGAGCTCGATCAGACAGGAATTCAAGTAGCAGTGCAGTCAGCACAGTTAAAAGTCGCGGTCACACCGATTGCATCACATGTCCCACACTTCCATCGATGTTCGCCTATCAAATTTGATCGAATTTGATCAGTATCATGAACAATGGACATCTATAGCGCTGGAAGGAATGCAAGGGGTCCTAAGGAGAGGTGCCAATAAACCAACAGGAGCCAAGTGTATACTTGCAAAGCTGCTGGAGCCTAAGTATGTAGTAATAAACAAAATACGCTTGTCAAGAGTCAGCAGCGAGTCTGTGTTTTTATTTCGGAGCTGTTATGAGTCACGAATGCATGTCTTCAGTGAGTGTTGCAGAGCTCCCAGGAGTACAAATCTATGTCGCAGGCCATTGCAATAAATCAATACCGCCAGAGTTGCCAGTGACCCAGAGGTGTGTCGTCAGTGAAGCTGTATACCCTCAGCTCGGTCACCGCACCGCGGGTCCCCATGGGGACCGATGGATGATACCCGATACCCACCGCCGTGGATGGACGTACCGCCGAGTACGGCGGTCCATGTTAGGCCGTTTATGGTCTGTTCACTCAGTGTTCAGCAATCAAACCTGAAACCGCTGTCCTCAGATGGATTCCAGAAAACGTGACGCCAGCCATACATCTTTATAAGTGACGTGAAGCCATCATACTTGACATGTGCAAAAGCAAGACCATGGAGGGAACTTTACACTTATATGTACAGGAACAGGGTGCGCCGGTGATTCGCCGAGCAGCTTGTATAGGACGGCGACCCTCACATCCATGTCACTCCAGTCACGGCCCAAAGGAAGCCACACAGACATATTCTGATGATAAGGACAATCAGGGGCTTCCTCGCGCGGCAACTGAATCGATAGCCACGTCTTTGGCTTATATAAAAATAAGTGTCTCCCGTGACATTCCCTATGGAGTAGGTATTTATAAGGCGTAACAAATTTAGTGCTCGAAATAGTGCAATTAGCGGCAACATACATTAGCAAGAAAACCATTATTTAAAAATATTCTAGATAGGTAGTTATATTTACATACAGGTCAGTACATTTGATTTAGAAGGTTAGGTAAAAATATAGTTTTGATTAAGATAAAAATTACGATCAGAAAAAATGTCTTAATCGAATTATATGGCATTGATACTTGCATCGGTGGTAGGGCACTCGCAATAAACACGAACGCTAACTCACAATGATCTATTAGTAAGCAGATGTGACCACTGACCTCTCACTACTGCCTGCCGCTCGCCCGTGAGCAGATGTGGCCGGTTATCGGCTCGTCCGTAGGCAGATGTGACCGGTCACCACTGGCTGAGCTGATGTGACCTGTCACTTCTGACTGCCGCTCGTCCGTGGTGGTGACGTCAGGAGGTGTGTCCAACAGTTTGAGGGCGTGACGGGTCCATTGGCCGCGCGCCGCATTTGGCTGATATACGAGTGGGTGGCGAGTGCTTCAGATGCGATAAGCAGGTCGTAAACCCGAACACATGCGCCGTTTGATCTTCGATCACTGCGCTGGTAAAATATTCATCAGTTTCTGTGTAGAGATGGCCTTTTCTGGACAGTGAATCAAAGCCGGCAAGGCGAAGTGTTTTAAGTGAATCTTAGAAGCGATGTCAGTGATTATATTCCAAGCATGAAGCTGCAATTCTATGCGTAACAGGTGATGTGATTGACTACTTACAACCCCAGAAATCGTGTCGCTGTCGGAAGCTCTTCTTGAATTCTACCGCGACTTTATTGTCGCCTGTACAGCGGAGTGTTCGTAAGTCTCTCACGAGTCTGTCACACCCTCGACACACATCGTTGGTGTCCCCGCACCGTACCACACTATTGGTCAATGCGGCGCTTACCTACGTCAGCACCATCAGCAGCTGCCGAACACGGCCCCGGTGACACGACTCCTCCATTTCATGGAGACACATGCATAATGCAGGTGTTCAGCGGCAAATGAGCCGCAGCGGCGGCGGAGCTGCGCCTGCGATACCTGTCCAGAAGATGGATTAATGTGTCGGCGAATTTCTCTACTTGGAGCCGATGCAAACCGCCGCTGTCACAGAGACAAACGATTCATGACTTTCGGTGACTTGAGACAAATTGTTACAGTGCAGTTAAACGCGTGTTACATGATAATACAGGGCACATTTCTGTATCTAGGGGAGGTACTGCTTCAGCAAGATAACTAAGTCACTAGCAGCGGCGAGGACATCCAGCCAGTGCCTGACGCCTGATGTCAGTACTTGATGTCAGGATGTCAGTATAGGTACTGTTTGCAAAAGCAGGCAATAACAACAATTTGTGGTTTTCTAATTTCTAGGTGATAGGTGGACTTTCTTTTCCAAGAATTCAACTTCATTCGGTTGGGCCGATTACTCTTCCTAAATAGAATAAGAAAATAGGGCACAGAAACGACTAGTGATCCCGAACACTGATTATTGCTAGCACGTTTGCAAACTGCTTCGGCTGTTTGCTTGCAATCTGCCAACGAAATCCACGATAATCGCAAGTCGTCTTTGATGACGCAATTTGATAAATTCTCCCGGTCTTTATGATACGCATTACTGCATTGGAAAAGTGGCGCATATTGATAGCCGTCATTGCGCAGCGCACACGGCTGTCGCTGTCTCCATATTCATCTGTCGTTCATACCAACTGTGAAAAATGCCCCGTCCACTGGCAGTCTGACACGGGCGTAAGTCCGGCGCGTCAGACCGCCAATTTGACGGCCCTCTAATCGGCACTCAGGGGATCGCCTGCACCTCCGGCAGCGTGCAATAACACCTGCTTAGCATAGGCCGGCCGGCACCATCATCTCCGCAGGACGGCCACAGGTAAACAGAGGGCTCTTAGTGAGTGTGCCGCCGGTGCTGCTAAAGCGCTGTTCACGCCGGCCGGCTGGCGGTGATCCGTCCGTCACCCTGACGGCACCATCAGGCGTGGCCGAGCATCTGGCGCGGAACGTGCCGCACTCCGTCAGCGCCGACCACAAGCCGGGGGACGAGTATGAGGCACGGAGTCCGGAGGTGACAGAGGATTTACTGTAATATCGAGCGCTCCACAGACCTCGGTTAGGTATGGCTTGCATTGAAGGCCGAACAGCTCGTGTGATATGTTCACAATGTAAAACATTGGCATTGCATGAACCTGTAAGTGTAGGGTAAGGTGCCTAATTAGCGACCCTTTCCTATTTGCGACCTACCTCCCTACAGAAAAACTGGCAGGAGAAAGCGGGGTAAAAACATTGTCAAAAGGTCAGCCACACTTTGGTTATCAAATTAAAATCTTTTCCGGTTGTCGGTGTTTCTGGTGGGACGTTTCAGGTTAGTTTAGATAAAAATGACGAGTTTCTTATCCAAAACATGTGTATTTGGGCCCTCTCTGATGAAAAGCGATGCACATTATAATGATGCACCTTTTTTATTCTGAATTGACAACCCTTTTTCAATTGATTGCCGCTTTCCCATAGGGAATCGCTTAACTGTGCACTGCATGACGGTTAAAAATGTGTCGCAACTCATATTTCCTATTCGCGCCCGACATGGTCGCAAATAGCTCAAGAAGGGAAAGAAAGGGGAAAAGAGAGAAATGAAAATGAGCTTTTTCTGAAGCTCGCAATGTGTGGCAGGGGATGCCAAATGTCGTCACCGACTGCAGGGGTGCCGAATCAAGCGCGGACCTCGAATATCATACGAGATAGCCCGCAAAATTGGGGCTTTCGCCTTCTTTTTGCCTTTGGTGCATCACGTGATCAGTTTTTACTTACGTAAACGTGTTGGATAAACGTTCCTGTTCGAATGATTGAGTGCTTTGCGTATAAGTTACCTTTTTGGGATCATATTTCATCCTTTCAGGCGTCGCATTTTTTTGCCATTTTTAATATGGGAAAACCCATAGACTTATTAGCGACCCTACCCGGTCGCTAATCGGGAAGAGTTCCCTATTAGCGTTTTTTGCAATGGTTTGCCAAAATGCTCACTACAAATAAATTAGTGGATATTGGAGCAGAAAATGACTATATCTTAATAGAAAAATGAACGATCTCTCCGAAAATCAAGCCAGTAATGCAGAGGCACCCATAGAGCGTGAGCAATGACGGTTCAAATTAAGTGGGTCGCTAATTAGGCACCTTACCCTATCTTCATGTATTCTGGAATCACGATTTTCATATGCATATGTTACAGGCAATGTGTGGAATCAGGCATTCTATAGAATGCCTAGGCATTCTATAGAATGCCTGACCCTGACCGACCAGGCATTCTATAGAATTCCTAGGTATTCTATAGAATGCCTGACCCACCAGGGATTCTATAGAATCCCTAGGCATTCTAAAGAATGCCTGATTTTCAGGCATTCTATAGAATGCCTAGGAAATACACGAATCTTTCCAACATATAAGTGTATGTTGTATAAGATTATGAGCACAGACCGACATGTAGCATTATTATTTCTGCCAGGCTACCTTGCGTTCAGCTATTTATGTTCATTCAGTCAAATGTTCATTCAGTCAAATTTTCCGGTCAGGTATTCAATCTGACCTTATTAGGTCAAATTGTATCAGGATTTCATTCTGAGAGTACAGAGTATTTATCTTAACGCTAGAAAGACGATGGTGGTAATGTCAATATCGGAAACGCCTTTGGTAAAAAAAATTACACAGAAAAAATTGACAAATCGTCCATTTTTGGAGGTGTTTGCCTTCTAAGGAATTGATTTAAGGTCAAACTGGAGAAAACGGCTACGAGCCAAAAATGGACAAAAATTGGGATGACCTAAAAATGGCTTAGCTATTTGTTTTAGAAATGGCACCCTTTCGAACATTGCCAAAGAAGAACTGAAGTAAAATTTCATAATTTTGAGTCTTTGACGACCTTTCGAATACCGCATGGCCCAGAAGTCAAGCTGGAAGGGGAGATCGAACAACACCTAATCCGGCTCTTGTTACGGCCGGGCCACCGCCCAGACGTGGAATAATGAACCATTTATTCAGGTTATTCCCTGACATTACGGTGTAGGTTGAGCTGTCCATGTATGCATATTGAGAGTCGTTACACGAAGTGCTTATGACGACATAAAATGTGACCTTTGGTGTATTTTTCACCTTCATTTCAAACATCAGAACAAAGCCATCGTCATTCCCAATCACTTTCGATTCAAGCCTACGGTCCACCCTCCCAGCCAACACTCTTCTAATGCAGCTTCGTATCTGTAGCAGCATAATCCTCCGAGTGTAACCGTTTAAGCGACTGGCTGGCCTGTGACTCTCCCGCGTGCCTTGCGCCGTGGCTCTCCCGTGCCAACGGAATTGGATCAGCTGCTGCTTGCGGCGCACCATTTGGTGGTCGGCATAGCCCAATACCTCCCTCGCTTCCTCTCAGCTCATTGCCCTGAAATGGTGTGAGGTGACGACCGGCCTAGGCCAACAATGAAAATTAGGTAAACAAATAGCATTACTGCCACTGACCCCTAATTTTCGAAGTGTGTTTCGGACAATCAAAATACTTAGGCATTCTATAGAATGCCTGGGAGCTTAAACCAGGCATTCTATAGAATGCCTAAGCAGTCAGGGATTCTATAGAATACCTAGGGATTCTATAGAATGCCTGGTCGGTCAGGCATTCTATAGAATGCCTAGGCATTCTATAGAATGCCTGATTCCACACATTGCCTGTATACACTGAGAGAAATTTTGACTCCCTTTAGGAGAGTTATCGAGAGTTACCAAAAACGACTCCCTAAAACTCCAGGCAGCTACTCCCCTTTACTCTCCCTCATAACTCTCACTGGAACTCTTCATCCACTGAGAAAAAAATTGACTCCATATATGGGTCAAAACTCTTGAAAATGCTCCCCTGAAAACTCCTGAAAACCATCGATAACACCCTTTCCAGCAGAGTTATTGAGTGTGTTCTAGGGTAACTTTGAGCCTTCCTCATTTTGCGAAAGAGTTTTCAAGAGTTCTTAATGGATGACGAAATGACTCCATGTGTGACACCCCATAACTCTGTGACGCAGCTCTCCATTACTCCCGAAAAAACTGTTCCCGAACGTTCCGACAGGAGTAAAAGGGGAGTTACGAAGGGGTTTTAGCATACGTCGCGAGGCTGCCGGTGGCCGCCATCTTTTGCGCGTATAAATAGTATACAGCACGTTGTGCGGGGCGGCGGGCGAGGTGTTAGTGAAGAGCGTGTTGCCTTCGACGGACCTGACCTATACAGTGACGGATAATTGGACCTTTCTTTGGATTTAAAGGTAAGCTTAGCTGTATTTCTCATCATGTTTAATAGTGCAAAGTGTTATAATGCTGTGATGAGAACATATGGTAACCCCATGTTCTTGATGAGCTGGAATGGTCTCAGTAAGGGTAATTGATTTGTTTCGTTCCTGAGTGAGATAAAGATCGGAAACAGCATGCTCTGAGTTTCTAGATATTGGCAAACATCATACATTATTTCCCTCGAATAAATTGGAAAGTAAGGATTACACAAGCTTTACACGTCATGGATCCTTTGTTATTGTCCGATTGTTTTAATATCCATGTCAATGACAATTATCAAATTTGAAGGGCTTTCAAAGCAGAGCCAGAAAATTAAACTATCTTGGCATAAACGCCTTGATTTTCCTAGCCCCTATAACTTGCCCTTTAGACTTTCACTGAAACTTAACTTTATCAAAATTGTAGTGCATAAAAAGTATTATAACTTTGCAATCTCTTGTTTTCATTATTTTGACATTATGTGCCGAAATGCAGTATCAGTGCCAACACGTCAGGTTGCGTGTGTCTCGTCTCGTCCATCTTGTCTCATCTGCCTACCTCTCAGTCTCCTCCCTGATTTCCTCCTTCCATCTTCCCTCGCTTCCTTCCTCACTCCCTCCTTCCCCTCCCCTCTCTCTCCCTTTCTTTCTCCCTCTCTCTCTCCCTCCCTCCCTCCCTCCCTCCCTCCCTCCCTCCCTCCCTCCCTTCCTTCCTTCCTTCCTTCCTTCCTTCCT